TCTTCAGGAATTGCTTTCTTCACACATACAGACAAAAAAATAGAAAGCAAAAGTCAATATGCCACCCAAAATGTGAGTGCTCTGATCTAGCTTTGTAGCCATCTCTTTCCGCCACTGTATTGACTCATCGCCCACACCTGCTAAGCATGTGGACGCATAGACTACAATAGAGAAATGAGTGCAGCGATGGGCTTTGAGTAAACCATGGCAGGGTGTCATTGTCAATCTTGTTGCAGTTGCTTCGAGGGCGCTAAATAATCAAGCCCTAGCCAGTGCAAAGCCGCTCAAAGCAAGTAAGCACTGCTCGTGTAGCAACGGACAATGTCTCTCTGCAAAAGTGTCCTTGATGGGCTTTGTGAATTGCAGGTCCAGGATATAGTTTCCTGCGGCAAGACTTGGAAGAGGTGTTGAAAAGACGCTAGGCTCGCAAAGTCTTCTCCCGACCAAGATAAGTTGAGACACTTCCGCAGGCTTATTTTCAGGGAGACCCCAGGCGCGACAATAAAGCCTTCAGCAAGCAAGGTTTTGTGGGCCTTGACAAAAAGTGCTGGATTGCATCCATGAAGCTCGACAGGCTGAGGGCCACAAGGAACCACTATGGGCAAGTGAACCAACGCCCGTCTTCACAATAGGCAATGGAGGCCATGGTCAATTGACAAGCTGCCTCGAAAACCACACCAACAACGGGGACCAGCAAGAGAAACGGGCAACCAAACACACAATCAACGGCGAAGGCACGCTGCAAGTTTACAGGTGGAAGCACGAACGTCTGTGGGATCGGGAACGCTCCTTTCAATCCACTATAGCGACTGCAAAGCACGATCCAGGTATAATTAATTGCAATTGTACGTTATAATGCTTGCTGCTTCAAAGCAGGCACGTTTCACATCTAGCGCTACTCATGGGAGGCCAAGCTGGACCGTGATCGTGGAATCGCTGCTTGCGGGTATGAAAGCAATTGGCGCCAGGACATGGGCAGTGGCACAATGTATCCCATGTCTTGATGTCAAGTCGGACTTTCGTTGGACAGAAACGCCTCTTGGCCCGCCAGCCACTGTCCAACCCACCCGTCCAGAGCAAGTGTCAAGCCAGATAGCAACCAGCAGTTGAAAAAGAATAATAAAACACCGGCCAGGCAAAGCAAATGAAGTTTTTGTTTTTGTAGGTTGCTTCAAGAGGGCAAGCAACACAATGTTTCCAAGGGACATTCTGGCCCCTTCGCATACTCCATTCCATAAAAGTCTGCCAAACCAAGATTGCTGAGGCTTGCGAAACCTGTATAAACCAGAGACGGCTACCTGCGCCCAGGCTGTTCGAATTGGCATGGCGAGTTGAACACGTGACAGCCAATCCAAATCGATCTCGGCAAAGAAACACCTGTTTTTTGCTTATTATTTTTTTAGTATGCTAGCCTCTCCTTTTGTAGCATGTCCCTCAACAGAACCGGAAAAATTGACCTTGCAGCACCTCACCCGCTCAGTCGCTCAGTCGCTCAGTCGCTCAGTCGCTCAGTCGCTCAGTCCGTTGTCTGTGACGGCCGGTTGGTCCCCGTCGCGCTTGTTGTTCGCTGCCGAGCCTCAGAGTACGGAGAACGTGAATCATCTGACGAGTGGTTGGTGGACGTGAATTCCCACCTAAATGATGTCCACCGAAGGGTCTCCAATTAAAAATCTGACCAACTTCCGTATGTACAGTAATTTGCCAGCTAGGACAATCCAAAACCAGGGTTGGGTAAAAACTGTCCTGAAAGCATGCATCACCCTGAAGGAAACTGTACCTAGGGAAAAACGCCAAGTCAAGCCCTATCACGGCCTCCGCCTTCTCTTTCTCAGCTGCTCTCCTTTCGGCAAAAGCCACTCGTACACGCAAGGCCGCCTCATCTTCTCCTCTCTGCGAGTGACTCAAGCTTCGAAGTACGCTCAGGCCAACTCCCTCTCGTATGGACATAGGCGGTGTGATCTCGAGGTTCACTACAGGCCCTGGATCACCTCTCAGCGAGATCGCACGTCCTGCGCAAGCGGATGGTTCACCAACTACGCATCGTCTGACCCTCCGCTTGTTCTCGGACTCGCCGCCTAGCAGCAATTTTGACCAAGCCTCATCTCCCGGCTTGATTTCAAGATAATTTGACTGAGTGTCTGGCTGACTGACTTCAAGGCATGCGAACCTGCGACGTGACCAAAAACAAGATGGGTACCCCCAACCTCCAATTTGACAAAAACAAAAACAAAAAAGACATAATAACAAAATGTGCGGTTCCTGGGTCCATGGATTTTGAGCCACACACAGGTAGGCATCCGGCCCAATCGAAGAACAGGCTCACAGCCTTCTAGCGCTGGCAAAGCCTTGATGATCCTGGCCACTGTCGAATGCGCTTGCCTTGACCTTGGCCCTCATGCGCCCAAGCAAGGAAATACTGAGACTGGTCCATGCCTTGGAAGTGTTAGCCCGACATCTGATTTCCTGAAAGGGAGTGTGTCTTTTTTTCGGGGACCCCATCAAGTTGTTGGTATCTGTTTTTAGTGCTCCTTGCAAAACCACCAAAAAATGGGCACCCTCAAAAAAGACAAACAACTTAGCGGAATCTGAGCACGGGAACCCCCAGTCCTGGCAGTGTGCTCGTGGCAAAACGGCACCACCTCCACGGGCACGGGGAAGTGGGGGCCTAGGCCTGAGCTCCGCCAATAGACGATACACCAAGAGTCGACAGGGAAAAGGCGAGTCTAAGCCAAGTTTTATTCAAACAGGCGCTTGACGAATGAGCAGTCCGACAAAACGCGAGTGTCTGGCAGTAAAGCGGAACATGACGCCTGTCACTGCACCTCATACGTGCGGATGTATCAAAGGCTCCTGGCTGTCGCAAAGCTTGGACTCATCAACAATGACCACAAAGGTCTTGGCAGTGGCCTGGCGGGATAACTCTCGTCGGCATGTTTACATTGCAACAGAAAAGCTATAGCATTTGCAGCAGGTTTGCCTCTACACTACAGATCGCATTGTACATCTGCGTGGTGTGGCTTGCTTACAACAGACTTCTGCCTGCAAGCATCGCGCCCAAACCATCGTCGCCACCAAGAAGACTGGGAAGAAGAACAAGAAGCAAGAGGAAGAACGATAAAAGGCAAGAAATCGGAACAAGAACAAGAACAAGAAGAATTCAAACAAGAAGTAGAAGGCAAAAAAGAAGGGTGAAAATATGATAAAGAAGAAAGACATGTCGTTTCAAAACAAAGACACACTTCAAAAGAGGCAGCAGAAGGAAAGCAATAAGAAGATAAATGAGAAAGGGATGCTGATAAAAACAAGGAAGGTGAGGAAGTGCAAGAAAAGAAAAAAGAAGGGAGCAAGAAGGCCAAGTTTTAGGACAAAACGCAAACAAATAAGAGAAAAGCGAAAAACACCTCCGGACCTCCAAACAATTCTCAAGTTGCTCATGTCCATGGAGCCAATCGGCGAGCCTCGACGATCTTCTCCCGGAAGTGTGCACCACCTCCGCCCTTCCTTGGCTATCCGGCAAAATGACAGGCTGCGGCGTGACGTGCGTGCCCAAGCAGTGATGCAAGGGTCTGTGGTGTAACTTCAAGTTTCAGACGAGCCTTGCAGCCCCCAATCTGACAAAACCATGTTCAACTTGCTTAACAGAGTACTGTGATCTGAGAAAGCTTTTCGGATATGTTTTCCTCTACATCTGTCAGCAGTGTTTCTCCCAGTGCCTTGCAAAATCTCAATAAACAAGCCTATGAGCAGTGCCTACAGCCATTGCCTTTCTCATCCACTGGCTCTTACATGTGATAAGAAATGCGCTGGCACATGTCCCATAAAGGGGTGAGAACACGTGTTCGTGCGACCACCAACTCCCACACAACTCCTGCTACCAACCATGGACTGCCGGACACAATTCTGCGTACATAACTCCTGCCACTATGCCAACATAGCCACTACAGGGGAACGACAAAGTCATGCCTAAGTCATGCCTGGCTGGTTCCCCCATTGTAAACGCCCATGCAAGAAGTCATGCCTAAGTCCTGCCTTCGACTCTTTCCCCACTGTGAACGCAAGAGGTAACCGCCAAAAAAACTTAGCATGTGCCATACAAAGATGAATTTGCAATGCCAGGGGACAAGGAGGAGGGCATAATTTTCTTGTTGATTGGGTCATGCGCAACGCCTTCCCCCCATGCAAACGCAAGATGCAGTAGCCTTGTACTCACGTTCTCCTTCCGTCCAAAAGGTGAATCAGCATCGTGGGGAGGTGGTTGGTCAAATTGCGCTTTCGCCGATGGAAACGCAAGATGTCACAGAATGCCAAAACAAAGGATCATATCAAATCTGCCTCGGACTGTTATTTTCCCACACTGCAGACGGGTGGGAAACAAACCGCAGGCCGCGGTTGTACCGTTGAACGGCAGCCCAAGCCTCTCTCTTCTTGGAAGTTGTGAGAAGTTGAGGCCCAATCACATTTTTGTAAAACACTTCTGAGAGCTTCTCTGATTTGCTGGCCTTGCTTCTGAGCCAAGAGACAAAAAACTCGGCCAACCCTTTCATGCCATCACGTTTCTCGCTGCTGAAGCACTGCAGCACCCAATCAATGCAGTCTGCTTCATTGTCAAGGTCCCACTCCGTTCGCACGATGGGCTGATCACCCGAAGCTGCAGAGGTTCCTGGCACAGTCGCTGGCACAGAAGCAGGAGTCGCAAGAGCTTTGGCAGCTGGTCCTTGAGCTGCTGGTGCCGGAGCAGACGCGTCAGACTCTGCAGGCTGCGCTTGGCTGCCCCGCTTCCGCAGCTTGGAAAGTAGGTCCCCCATGCCGCGCTCCATCTTCTCTTCTGCTGCATTTTCTGGCACAACGGCGGACGGAGCAGGCGGCTTGTACCAACCACTTCTTCGGCCAGATCGGACTAGCTCAGCAGCCTCTTCTGAAAAAGCTGTGTTCGGCTCGCCGCAGGCCGCACAGAAGCGATCTGCCAGAGACACCTTCTGGGAGCAGCCTGCTTTGGAGCAATGAACCTTCTTTGGGCTCACAGCCGCCAGCAAGCCCAGCACCGCAGAAGTCTTGGTTTGCGGCTTTGCGTCAAAGCCAGCGCCAGCACGCTTTGAAGAAAACAGCTCCTCGAACCGCTCCTTTAGAACCACATTTCTCTGCAGCAGCTCGCCAGGCACAAAGCCACACCTTGCCCAGCCAGCACGTTGGTTTTGCTCAGACAGACCCTCCATGACGATCCTGCGAATGAGGCTCAATGCCATGAAAACATTAATGTCCCTTCCTTGGCGAGACAACTGAGCCTTCACAGCAGCCCACCGCGCACTCATGATGCTATGAGGCTGCTGGTCAAGCGCGCAGAGAGCTGCTGTAGAATAACTGGGCAAGACGAAGAGCTCCACGCCATACCGCTCCAGTAACCTTGCGTGCGCTGAAAACATTGAAGCTGGGACAGGTAAAAGCAGCACTAAACACAAAGAGGGTTCCTTGAGCTGGTTCCCAGTAAAAATGATGGAGTCAAGCAGCACCATGACCGAGGGAGTCACATGAATCATGCTACCTCCGCCAGTGTCAAGGATTAAGAGGCACTTCTCTTCTCTATCCGGCCATCTTTCTCTCAAAGGCTTCAGGCAGCACCTTTCCAGCATCTGCACAAAGCTAGCCGCAGTTTGGCTGCCGCCAGGGTTTGCAAACAGCTCCGCCTCGGGCCAGATGCGCGAAAAGGATTCATGCAGGCGCTTCTGAGGGACAATGACTCCAACCGGCAGCGGCTGACCTTGCATAGGCAGCCACGAGCATACCGTAATGTGCTCAAAGCTCGTGACTGCTGACACTGTAGCAGCCTTCGAGCGACCACTTTGAGTAATGATCCCGCGCATCTGAGTGAGGACGTCGCTCCTAGAAGAGAACCCCTTCTCGTCAGCTATGATCACACGCCCAGAGCTTGAGGCGAGCAGCACTCCGCTGGCAGACATCAGCCCCAGGCGGGTCAGCATCTTCTGAAGGGTGTCAAAGGCTTGCTCGATAACCTTTGGCTCCATCACGGCAGCCTGGTGCAAAGTCTTGGCCTTGAGCTTCTGCAAGGACAGGCTGTCTTCACGGGGCTGCGTGGCCTCGACCCATGCTCTGAAATCGCGCCAGAAGTGGGCAAAGCGAGGCCGGCGCTCAGCGAGCTTTGCTTCCAAGTCATCCCCGCACTCGTCCGCGCCGATCTCACCCAGCCTATGGCGCTGAGCTAAATTTCAACTGGGGTTAGCGAAAGCAGCCAGCCACTCAAAAAAACATAACACACAGAAGCACAATTTAGAATCCTGCTGATAAGGCGCTTTTCTAACTTCATCAAAACTGCCGCAGTTTCCAGCTGCTCAATCGAGAGGGCGGTACCGGTTCTTTGATGCCACTTCACATAGCAAAGAAGGTCTTGCTTCTCACGCTCCCCCAAGGATTCTTGAGGCGTGCGGCCCATCTTGAATTGAGCGGGAACATCCCAGGGAAGGGCCCCGTCCCCGAAGCTCTTGCGCAGCTTGTACAAGTAGTGCCTGTTTACACGCAAGCTTGTCAGCTGCTCAGCTGCCTTCGCTGGGCTTGTGATAGGGCAAGACTCACGAGCCAAGAGCTGGTGCAGCAAAGCGTAGAATTCCCACCTCTTTTGGTCGTGTGCGGAAGGATTTTCCGCATACTGTGCAAAATCTGCCTGCAGATCATCAAGCGTGTAGTCCACTGGGAGCACCACGGAAGCAACACCATTCTCAAACGCAGCCCAGCGCGGAGCATGCGGAGGCGGCTTGTCTGCCTCCGTCTCTGTGTTTGCAGCATACTCCCCCATGTAGCCTGCAATCTCGTCCCTGAAGCGCTGCTTATGCTTTTCACTGAAAGCTCGCCACTGGGCCATGTAGTCCTTCTGCATCCTCTTTTCCGCTCCATGCCGGTGTGCCTGCACGCGGGCAAACCAACAGAGTTCTGATTCCCTCGCCCTTCGCTTCCACCCCAGCTCCGGCAGGGCCATGTCGCTCAGCTTCCTCTTCTTGCCTCCAGCCGGCGCACTGACAATGGCTGCGCCCTCGCCGGTCCGGTCAAAGTTCTGAGACTCCTCGATGGCCGCGGCGGCATTCTCGTCGGATCTGGCCTGCTTCTGAGACTCCTCCATGGCAAGCTCTATCTTGCACTGATCCTCGTAGCAGAAAAAGCAAACCCTGACCACAGGAGACTTGTTGTCCGCTGACACCGCAGCCCCGCACAATGCGCAACCATTCTCATTGGCAGCAGGTTTCCCAAGTCCACTCACAGCCTTCTCTGCAGCAAAGCAGGCGCGGCAGAAGTTTGCCAGGGCTGAGGCGTTGGAACCAGTAATGGCGGTTGCGCAATCTACCTGGGACAGCTGGCATCACTGAAAATGTGTCACTCCAAGCAAAAGCACCGAAACAACATGGTGAAAGCGACTGCTAGAAACAAGTTGAAGGACGCAGCTTGGGAGAGTCTTGTGGGAAGAAGAAGCCACTTCAGCCAAGAACTGCAGCTGGCCTTGTAGATCTGCCTCAGGCACATCTGCCAAAGCACTAGCGGAACTCTGCGGAGGCGGAGGTGCCTCGTTCGGCGGCGGCAGCGGCGGCTCAAGCAGAGCAGCTGCTGAAGCTTGCAACGCCGCTGGTGCAGGTGGCGCAGCTTCTCCTCCCAATTTTGGCACTTCAAAACTCGGAAAAAACGAGATGCAAAACGAGATGGAAACGAGATGGGAACGAGATCTGAAATCAGTCAAACTTGGCCCACTCTGCTCAAGCTTCAAAATTGACAAAAGCTGGACAACAAAGTTGCGCCTGCACCGTTTGCTACAGGCTTCGAAAACTGTGAGTCGTGCATCTTCCTGGCTAGCGCGCTCCGAACCTCAAGGAGCAACTTGCCGTCGGTGTCGACGCCCCATTCATCACACAGCTCATAGAGGTTCGGCGCGGCCAGCCGAACGATCTGAGCTTCAGTCAGCCGCTTGGGGGCCATGGGTTGCTGCCAAATGCCCCTACGCCCACTACATGAGCAAGGCAGAAAGAAACTCAAACACGGTCTTGGCTAAAAAAGGCTTCTGTCAGTACTGTGCTCTCAGCATGCAGTTCATCCAACCGTGCGCTGCAGTCAGGCTCAGCACTTGCAACAAATCAAAGCACGACTGCACGCGACTCTTCGAGACAATGTGAAAGATTCTGCCAAAGATTCGATGCGAAGAAAAGCACATGAAGCCAAGGTATTTGCGCTCTGAAGTTTGTCCCTTTTCCTTCACCTCGGCCCCAAGGCTGCGAAGGATGCCCCAATATTCCCCTATTGGATCTCTCCTGCTCCATACTTAAAATCTCTCATTGGCTTTTGAGGCAATGAGAGCAGCCACACTTATCAGATTCGCCAAGAGATGTTCGCACCACTTGGGATACCTGACGCACAAAACCTAAAAGGCAATGGCTATCCAAAGCCTGATAGCTGCGACTCGTCTTTAAAAGAGCGCACGCACGGACACAACTGTAGCACCAAGAGCCGGTCACTTCACGGGTCCGGTTTGGACGCTTGTACTCCCAGCGAACAGCATGCTTTGCATTGCGGCACACGCAACATTCAGAACTCTCGGGAACAGGCTGACCCTTTGGAGTGTGCCTGTTCCCTGACGGTAGGTCAGCCTTGCGCAACAGCTCAAAGATGTTGCTGTGCTCTTCCCGAAGTGCCCGCGCAAAGGCGGTTGGATTGCCAACCTTGGATTGGGATGGAAATATGTCCTGTGGATGACACCGTTCAATCCTGCAAATCACTTGGCTCATGTTGCGCTCTCCTGGAGGCCGCGCCCCTAGACCCTTGCATTAACCCCCATCTCTGCAAACCCCAAACATTAAAACACCCTAGGCAACCCACCACCACCACCACCACTACCACCACCACCACCCCTTACGACCGAAAGCAAAGCAAACCACAACAGCGCCAACAAACGCGATTCAACCGTCAAAAAGCAAGGCGCGCAACAGCAACTGCAAACAGTAAGCAGTCAGCAAACAGCTAGGCAAAACCACCCCAACCACAGCAACAACAACCACAGCAACAGCCACAGCAACAGCAACAGCAACAGCAACAGCAACAGCAACAGCAACAGCAACAGCAACAGCAACAGCAACAGCAACAGCAACAGCAACAACAACAACAACAACAACAACAACAACAACAACAACAACAACAACAACAACAACAACAACAACAACAACAACAACAACAACAACAGCAACAACAACAACAACAGCAGCAGCAGCAGCAGCAGCAGCAGCAGCAGCAGCAGCAGCGGCGGGAAGCCAACAGAAAGCACACAAGAGAGTAAAAACCACCTGGGAAACAAGGCGAAACACAACAGTCGCAGCAAAACACAAAAAACAGCTGAGCAAAGCAAAAGCAAACCCTAGGCCAAGGCTCAGGAGCTTCTGCTGGGTCGGGCTGACGTCGCTGAAGGACCTCGGCAGTCACAAAGTACAACTCCCCTGTGGCGGTCACCTCCCGGACCACCACCACCAGCACCACCACCACCACCGCCAACACAACCATAACCGCCAGCGACAGCAGAAGCTACAGCAGCCCCCACCAAACAAACAAAAGTTGAAATCCCGTCAACACCGCGCAGCCCTCACGCTGCCGAGGCCGAGCTCCATCGGCCAAACCCTTACCCCAACACTAGCTACGGGAGTTTACCATTGTAAGTTTACTTCTACGTCCCTTCAAACTGCAGTTGCGGCAGGGTCCGTTACCAGTCTGTTTCAAACAAAGCTCTTAAGGTGAAGCTGCCTTTGAAGCCCAAAACCCGCGTAAGCTTCGTTCTCTTGAAAAGGGTTCAAAAAGGAAAAGGTTAAAAGCGTACTCCTCAAAAAATCCTGCACTTAACACTGCGCCGGCTGCTTCTCGCAAGGCACCTGCGGTACAGGTGAAGGTGTGCTGGCGCACTCCTCCCGACATCGCTTCCTTGTCGGCGTCTCTGCTGCCATTGCTCTCGGCCCAAATGGCTCAGAGCAATCCAAGACCCCAAATGGCTCCAGGCCATCGAACGAGTATCAAAAACACAGAGCCGTCCACAAAACCCCAGAAGATCGCAAAACAAAGTCTGTCACGCTGCAAACAGCAGGTTGCTGTGAGATCTACCAATCAAAGCAGGGAAGCCCGCCCACCAAAAATGCTGGCATTCCATTGTATCTTAGCAACATATTCTCACATAGAAGCACCGGACATGGAAAGGTGGCGACCCAATGAAAAAACTGCATAAACACAGGAATCCGAACCCCAATGTAAACGCAACACACATCTGCTTTCAGGACCTACTGGGCCCAGGTCTGGAACTGGCAAACCCCACTGTAAACGCAAGCCCAACTGATCACACAGCAAAATGCAGCGCTCACAGTGCACCATCAGAGTTCGTATGCGTTCGGCATTCCTTCGTATCTTAGCAACATATTCTCACACAGAAGCGCCGGACATGGAAAGGTGGCGACCCAAGGTAAGAGTTGCATAAACACGGGAATCCGAACCCCCATGTAAACGCAACATACATCTGCTTTCAGGACCTCCTGGGCCCAGGTCTGGAACTGGCAAAACCCACTGTAAACGCAAGCCCAACTGATCACACAGCAAAACGCAGCACTCACAGTGCACCATCAGAGTTCCTATGCGTTTCCCGGAAAGGCACGACTTCTTCGACATGCTTCCCCGCACCTAAATCTAACAACGCCTACTCCGGAGGCACGACTTTGTCATATGCCTGTAAGACTTGGCACTGCCAAGTCATTGGTACAGGCAACACCGATGACACCAACAACTCATACAAAGCTCGTACATGCAAATGCATGTCGAGTGGCACCAGGTTTAGGGTGCGATCCACTGAGTCCGCGCCGTCGATTGCAACCTCAGCCATTGCTTTAGCGAAAAATTGCTCCAGCAGCATTTGGGCGACAGAGCAAGACCTCCTTGTTTAGGAACCGAGGCGACAGTCTGCAGATATGCAAAAAGAAGGAGTTCCCAACGCCGGCGACTCTCGTGTTGAAAAACCAAACAATAACGTAAAGCGACCGTTCTGAAACACCTTGCATGGGCGTCTCCAATGCACAAGCACAATTCAGGCAGCTACTTCCCGTCACATGTCTCAGAAACTCGGCAAGCAAAGACTCTAAGCAACCCAAGCAACCCCTACCACCTACAAAGGTCCCCAAACCAAGATTTTTTCCTGGGTGCCGGGGTCCCCAATCAAAGCCCTTCATGCTGAGTGGTTTACCCAGCGAGCTCGCCATAAAATCGGCACTTGGCTTCTCGAAGCGGGTCATCGCAGCCGACTCTGGGCTCCTGTGCATCCAGGCTCGGCTGTGTGTCCAGCGTGGCCAGCTTGATGCCTCAAAACCCCCCGGAGCGAACTTGGCCCATCCATCGTGCCCTGTCTGCGTTCGCTATCAGGCCCTTCAGGGAGTTTCTTTCGGATGATCTTGGAGGGAAACTCCTTCCAAAAGAAGTGGACAGGGAAAACCCCGCTCAAGGTCCACCACGCAACACCAAAACATGTTGCCAGGGAGCAGCTAGCTCTGGGCCACAAGCGAGAACAAGCGCTTCGACTTCCACTTCCCTCGGAACAACCTCGACCACGAGGGAAAAACTGGAAGGAAACGGCACGAGACAAAGGCAAGGGACAATCGCAAGGGGGGTTCGATGGGAAACCTCCTGAAAACCGGCTGCCCCGTCTGGGGTCTAGTTTGGGAACCCTCGCAGTTCGGAACATCGACGCTTCCGCTGGGCATCCGCTCCCAGTGAAGCCGCCTGCTCCTGCGTTCGCTTGGATGTGGGCACCTGAGCTTTGGGCACACCCGTTGAGAGGCTCTCAGCTTGCGACAAATTTTCAAGGTCACGGCCCTACCTGCGCTCCAGCATTTCTGATCCAGGCCTTTTTTGTCTGGATGCCTGTCAACTTGACGCCCGCTCGTTGGCACAGAACCAAAGTCTATCTTGCGAAAGGCATGCAGTGCTGTCAAACCACGTCATGCGCAGCAGATTGGGCACACTGTCGGCAATAGCACCCTCAAGAGTTCATGTTTTTAGAACTCAGTCTAGCAAAAGATGACACAAAACTAGTTTCTGAGACCTGCAGTTGCCCGGAGCCTTCAAAGTGATGAAAAGCGCGCATTGGTTCTATTCAAAGTAGAAACACTAACACCGGAGGACGCTCAGTTTCCAGAGCTATTTGATTTTCTGGCTCAAGCTTGGCCCGATCCTGAAAGTTAAAATGATCTCGCAGTCGCCCGACTGTTGTCCCAGGCCCCTTGCCCAATGGAGTGATGTATATGTACTGTATATATGTACTATTATATATGTATACATAGCCCATAGGCAACTAAGGGAGCTGGCCTTTTGAGGGCAAAAGGAAAATGGCTGGTTATCTACAACAGGGGTAACTGGAATCGCTGGGTTGAACAACGTGACAGCTAGGCCAGCGGCCGCCACGATATCCTTCAGCTCGCCAGATGCCAGCCTGGACAGCTTTGCATCTCCAAGGAAGCCCAGAAGAGAGAGAAAGAGAGAAAGGAAAGAGGGAAAGAGAGAAAGAGAGAGAGAGAGAGAGAGAGAGAGCGCAAAGAGAGGCAAAGAGAGCAAAATTCAGCAACAACAACAAAAAAGACAAAGCCTAGCAAAACTGGGATCAGACAAACAAACGGCAGCTTGAGATTGCCGATTGCCCCCACTTTCACTCTCCGCGATCTTGGCTAGCGCCCGAACTGGGCTAGCTTTCGCCCAAACCCACCGGGGGTGGTCTTTTGTTGGGTTTACCCCATGTTGGGTGAATTTTAAGGAAAGCTCAAGGATGACACCAGCACAGACCCCAGCATTGGAAATTTCACCCTCGTGTGGCACAGTCTCCCAGGGCCCCCCGCCCCCCACACACAAGTTCCCACACACGCCGCTACTCCTGCGCGGATTCCTGCGCACACTGCTCGCAGCGCACCTCCCACATTCTGCTTCTGTGGGTTTCCGTGCACGCGCTTTGGCATCCGTGCGTACTTTGTTGTCCCACGTGCTTCCGGCGCATTACTCCGCGCGCCTCCCACACGAATCCCCGTTCGTGCCTCTGTGTGCAGCCTTAGGGCAGGGCCTCTCACATCTGTCACGCCAGGTCCGTTGTTTCAATTGTATAGGCATTGCTGACTATGCTTGAGGCTGTCCTCACGCGCCAGGCAGCATCCACAGCACCTTTTATGGTTCACGCCGGCGTATATATCATTGTATGCGGGGACGCCGCATAACTCTGCCATGGACCAGCGTTGTGACCAGCACCCTGACTGCACCGCTGAACAAGCACCGCCAGTCACCACCAGCACCCTGACCCTTGACCAGCACCGCGACTGCCAAAGCACCACCAGTCACCACCAGCACCCTGACCAGTACCTTGACCAGCACCATCTGACCAGCAAACTGACCAGTGTCCTGACCAGAACCCTGACCACCCCAACCGCAGCGAACAAACACCGAGCACCAGCCCTGACTGCAGCGCAACCGCCAGTCCCCACCCCAGCACCCTGACTGCAGCCGAACAAGCACCATGCCCACCTAGCACCCGCAGCTCTACCTGGAACCACACCTCTTTAGGAGGAAGAACCCCCCTAGCTAAGGCCATCTGGGGAAAAACCACCACTTTGGGGCCCCCTGAAAAAGATGCACCCACATGTGCCATGGGCAAAACTCCTGATGTGGTCATGGTCACAGTTCCCTTGATTGGAACCCTTACTAGCTACTTGCCAGACTACAAAGAAAAACTTTCCGGGAGATTTCGGCAGGAAAGCCCTGGTTTGGGGTGTCTGCCTAACTTTGTTCATTTTTGTCTAAAACCGCAATTGATGGTTTCATGACCATCCCTAGCAACCCCAAGGAAGAATGGCGATTGACCATGACCCCATGCTCTGGAAATGAAACACAAGCACATGCTAATCGTGTCGACCGGTCTGTTTTGTCAACACTTGCCACTGGACAGGAAACCTGGAGAGGATTCAAGCGACCCACGCGAAAGGAAATCCAAAGGTGGAATGAGCTGTCGTACATCTGCGCCAGAAACTCAGAGAGCCTCGGGCGTGTTTCCTTTCTGTGAAGGGACCCTTTCGGTGTTTGACAAAAAAACGCATAGACCCCAAATAGCAGTGCTTGCACACCAGCACATCCAAAAGCACACCCGCCCACCCCCCACCCCCACCCCGAAGAACGCCCCAAGCAAAACCCGGCCGTCAATCGAGCAAAAATGCGCCCGCACCATTACCCTGAAGAGCACCCCAAACAGCACCCCCGAAGACACCCAGCCGACAATCTTGCGAAAATCAACCAGCACCCCAAACAGAATCCCAAACCACCACCTAAGCTGCAACATGCGCCTGCACCGTCACCTGCATGCCCAATAGCACCCGAGTGTCAATATCTCAAACATGCGCCCGCACCGTCACCAGCACCTCAAACAGCTCCCCACAAACTGCGTCCCACAGCACCATCAGCACCAGCACCCCAAACTGCATTCCCCCCTGCGTCCTACCGTCAAGATGCAAAAATGCGCGCGCACCGGCACCCCCCAAACAGCACCTGCACAAGCACCCCAAACTGTATGCCCCCTAGCACCCTACCGTCAATCTTGAAAAGATGCGCCCGCACCGTCAGCACCTCAAACAGCACCCCAATCAGCACCTACACCAGCACCCCAAACCACACGCCCCCTGGCACCAGCCCATCAATCTCGCAAGTTGCGTTCCGCTCTTTATTAGAAATTAGAACCCCTATAGCTGTCAGCTATCTAGGGCAAAACACCTTTCCCGACGGGCACCCCCGCTTCTGCCCCACACGCTCCACGGCAAAGTACCTGGAGAAAGGGGGGAATCTGCTTGAAGCTACTCCTGTCAGCTGGCTCAGTTCCAGTATTTGTTGCAATTAAAGAAAGCAGCAAGTTCCATCCTTACAAATTGACCATGCTTAGACTGCCTGGTCTTCCACAGCAGGAGTTGAAGG